TTTCAGTTTTTGCCCAAGCATAATCTGTTTGACAACGGGTGGTTTCAAATGAAACAGATATCGTAGCGTGCTTATACCAATCTGTTATGTAACGAACTACTGTATGACTTGGATGTATGGACTTTCAAAAAAAAGAAAAGAAAAAAAAGAGGCAGCTTCCTTAAACAGGCAGAGTAAATCTAAGAGGAAATGCTTGAATGTTCTTCAGGCAGTAGAAATTTCTTGGCATCTTGAAACGAAATGTAAGCTCGTATTTCAGTTTTACAACTTTACTTTCACGTTTTGAAGTTGTTGCCAGAACAGCTGACACAAGAAGGGACATTATCACACGAGCACTGCCTACACAATTGCCACCACATCTATAACATACAGATGACTTATTGCATGACTTTGATCTATGGCCAGATATTTAGCAATTGTAGCTTCTAAGCGGATTAGGGATGTACATATCTACCTTGATGTTATAGTATCTTGCTTTAAGTGAATCTGGGATTTTAGGAAAGCCAAATGTGAAACGATATGTATTTGCTTGAACTTCATTGTGTATTCGTGTACAAAATCGCTTGACAGAAACCACCTCCTGACCATTGAGTTCATCTACAATTTCATCCAGCCATATCTGCTAGGAATCGTCCTCTAATTTTGGACGATTCCCTTACAACAATTTAAAGTTCTATATGGTGAAACTGTTACATTACCAAGTGACTTAATGGACAGTAGATTTATGGCTTGTTTACGCTGCTTGCAGAACCTAATCGTTTGGCGTTTGCAACATCTCCAGCCTTTCCTTGTATTGCCTTCTCAATTGCAAAGGAGTGTAGCATCAAATGGTGCCAACAGATATCACGAGGAAATGAGGCCAGTTTTCAGAAGAAAAAGATGATCTTCCTCAGTATGAGAGTCATGACAGATCGTTTTTTAGAAGGGGCTTCCATATTGATCTTATTTGTGTTTCATTATCCTGGCTCCCCACCCACCATGGAGTGTCAGCAAGAATGATATCTATAACATATGTTATAATGTGGATTACACTTTCTTAGTAACGTACAAATTCTAGTACATTTTGACTTCAGCCCATCCGGGATTCGAACTCACACCCTCAGAGTCAGGCACCTAATCGCCGGATATCCAGAAGGTGCAGCAGATGGTAGAACTGGCCCAAAGTGGACCTTCCTATCGATAGCCACCGTGTTTGTCTGGAATGTCGTCTACAAGACCTGGAAACACAGCAGCAGCACACATACCAGCCCACCACACACCGGTCCACAGACAAGTCCACGAAACGCCAAAACATATGGACCCCTACCACATGTACTATAGAAGTTGCGATGTGCCCTAGAGCTGGGCTTTGTCGACAGATCTATGCAATGTATACAACATCGTCGTTTTCGGCGCTCATTCACACACACACACACACACACACAGAGCCCTACCACCCGTCCAGCGCATGTTTGCTCAGTCTCTGGGAGCAGCAGCAATTCGGCTTCCCGATTGTCTCTTGCCTTTTCGATATGGGCGAGTGGCAGATTTTGAAATGGTCCATCCACCAGCCGTTGGCGTTTTATTCCCCCGGCGTCTCGAGCCTTTTCTTCTATCTTGTAGCCGTAGACCGGAATTTTTTCTTCTCTGGTCTGCGAATCGAGTAGCATCAACAGTCGGTTCTTCCCTTCGTATTTTGCTACGGCGAACTTTTTGCACTTGTAGTTTCCTTCGGGAAGTTCTGTGGCTTTTCGGTGTTCATTGCATGGAGGAGCTACGTCCCTGTGGCTCTGCTTGTCACGATAGCTGTTGGAAGATATAGTATGACCAGAAATTATTGAGAATTTTAGGAATATGTTTAATTGTATTTCTAGTATGAACAACCTTGACCAGCTATCAAGTGCTTGGTTTCATTCAAGAGACAACTCCGTTAATCCTTTTTCATTAGTTTGTGAAGAGTTATCCCCCTTTGTTTACTTGCTTACAGACGACATTTTCAGTGATCCTCAGTATGTATGATTTAGAGAAGAGGAAGTTGATTTTAGAGTATTATAACAAGGACATACGATCAGCTAAAGTGATTTCAAGTAGAACAGGCATCCCTTTGTCCACTGTTTATTGTGTTTTGAAAAATATTGCAAATGGATATGGCTTTGAGCACCAGGGAGGCGCAGGTAGGCCCAGAAAACTGACTGTCGGTGTCATGAGGCGGCTTGGTATTCTTGTTTCTAAAAACAAATGAAGGAGTTTAGAAAACTTAAGGCTGGATATGATTGATGGGGGAACTGTGGCTGTTTGTAAGGAGAAAATGAGAACTGTGCTGCATGTAATGGATTGGCAGAAAAGTCGAGGAATTCCATCATCGATCATGAAACCTGAACAAAAGGAGCGAAGGTTGAACTGGTGCTTACAGCATAGAAATTTTAACTGGGACAATGTGATTTTCTCAGATGAAAGTTCTGAACAGTTCTGAAAGAATATGAACAGTGAGCTGTACACAGATATTCTCGAGGGACATTTACTTCCATCTGCTCACGTGTTCTATGGAAATGTTTGGATTTTCCAGCAGGACAACGACCCAAAACATAGTTCAAAGCATTCACAGGCCTGGTTTCGGACCCAAAATATGACATTTTTAGATTGGCCAAGCTATAGCCCTGACCTAAATCCAATAGAAAATGTTAGGAATAGACTTATGTAGGAAAGTGTCAATAAGAAAAATCTGACAAATATTCCTGAAATGAAAGAAGAGGTGGTCCGATATGGGGACAACATGGACCACGACTTTCTAACTTCTTTGATCAGTAGTATGACCCGCCGCATTGAAGCCTGCATTGATCCCCACGGTGACTTGACAAAATACTAACACTTCACCTGTCTTTGAATCTGGAGTTATGTTCTGCTAATATTCACATTTAATACGTGAGTAATGAGTGAAAAAAAATTAAACAAGTTACAATCTTAAATTCTGAATAATTTCTGGTTGTAATGCACAAGACTTGTTCTCGCTGCATGGACAATTGGCCGACAACTCGTCGACAAGGCATTGGTAGCGCAGGCATGAGGAGAGTCAGTCATCGTTGTACAGGTTCTCTATGTTCGAGAAACAGTAGGGGATCGCGATTTCGTCCTGAACCTCGAGAGGAAGTCGATCCTCCTGGGGTAGTCTGTCCATCACTTTGTTTTTCCACAGAACGCATTTCTTGCTGTCAACGCAGTGGTCGATGGCGCCGCACTTGCAGGTAGAGCTGTCTCGCTCAAAGAGAGTGGGGAGTTCTGATATGGCAGCCAGGCAGTCGGTGCATCAGTGGTGTCTGTCCTTGGGTTCCAGGCAGCAGTTGGCAGCGAGAACGGTGCGGAGTTTGCCCAATGTCGGAGGAAATTGGTTGGGTCGTTAGAGGTACATGAAATCCACTATTTTGCCGTCTTGTACGAATGGGGGAAAGTACAGTAAATACAGTTCCAGAAACTGGCGAGGGATCTGGTAGCACTCGTAGAAGTTGTGTCCCAATTTCTCCAGGATTTGTTTCTCTCTTTCGGAACGCAACAGGTAGGGACACTTTGCCAGCAGGCTCTCAAAGACTTCGGCCATGTCGGGAGTTCTCTCAGAGCTGCCACGGATTCGCGTGTATCAGGCTTGCGATATGTGGTGCTTCCTCTTAGCTTCCCAAAGGGACAAACAACTCGATCGGATCTCAGCATAGACTTCGGGCAATAGCTTGGTTCCTGGCATATTTTTTTTCTATAGCCATACACTCAGCATAGCTCTATAATTTGAGTGCACTTGCATCGACATACTGGGGGTATTTTTTCCGGGTACCTGTCTTGGGGTTGAATGGACTGCTGGAACCGCGAGGAAAAAAAACAGTGCAAACAAAGAATGTCCCTATATACTCAAATGTTGAGTGGAGGTGCACCTTTTGGTCTTTTCCTTCTGATTTTATCATTATTTTTGCTTTTCAATCCCATACCGCTATTCCCTATACTATTACTGAGTATATTTAGGGGCAGTAGGTAGCCTTGTGGGTATATATCATTCTGATATGGTTTTCTGTCTTCTGTGATTAAGTTTTTGTCGTTTGCACTTCTGTTATGAGAGTGTGTTTTTTTGTAATTTCTATTATCATTGATTAAATGATGGTTGTTATGGGTCACAATGGTTAAAATGTTTGTGTGTGAGTGGCGGCTCACATCTTGTATCATGTATGTTCAATGGCAGTAGTACTTTTTAGCGGTACACCTTTTTGATTGCGCTCCATGGTTGCCTCCCTTGGCTTATTTTGTTTTGACTCCCGGTCGTATATTTGAGAAAATAGCCTAATGTTCTGAGTGGATAGTGATGCTGCCCACATTTACCAGAATGCTCGAGAAGTGTGTAAGAGCTATATAAAGCCTGGTTGATGTGTTGTGCAGCAGGACTAACACACTGACTTTATTACATGACTGGATTTATACATGTGTCTGCCATCGTCCACATTGCACTGACTGAGTTTAGTTTTACGCCGCTTTTAGCAATATTCCAGCAAATATCACTGCGGGGGACACCAGAAATGGGCTTCACACATTGTGCCCATGTGGGGAATCGAACCCGGGTCTTCGGCGTGACGACCCAACGCTTTAACCACTAGGCTACCCCACCGCCCTCGTCCACATTGCAAGTCTGACCGTGCATGCCTGACTGCTCTCATTCTAAACGACCTTCAATTTGTAAAACTGCTCTCACTGTAAATATCAAGAATCTGGTGAATTAATATTTTGTATTTGTGACCCAATATTTAATCTTTCGGACTCAATTGCATTGAACTAGAAATCTGTATTGTCATCCATTGTAGCTTGCTCATGGTTTGTTCAATATATTATTGAATATTTTAGACTTGTCTGTGTTCTATTTTGCTGGTTCAAAGGGGACTCTTATACTTTTGTCACGGCAAATTATTTGACCATAACTTTTCCGCCATTCATCCCCACATAATACAACTGAAATACAGATTTTACACATGGCATTGCATTGTTGGTTTCAGCCCTGGCGTTGACATTGACACTTACAATGATTTCTGGATTGACCAGTTCTGTATGGATGCGGATGTGTTTGTTCTGGTGGCCAGTGCAGTGTCCACACTGACGCAGACAGTGAGTACACTCTACAGACATTGGGGGGTCGACATTCACCGATGTGTTGGTGCTGTGGTACACACTTTAACTAATGCATGGTTTCACGATTTGTATTGATTCGTTTCCTGCTAGTAAGTGTCTACGGTGCTATAAGAGAATACTAAGATTGCATATTGCTGATATAGAGCAGAATTCTGAAACTATTTGACCCCTCTTCGCCAAATTTGCTATACTGCCTCTCCATATCATATAGATGTACCTTTTGGGGCCTTGAGGTTTATTCTTTCAATTTTGTTTTTTTGTTGTCTTCATGGCAACAATATGGACTTTGTCGTTTTGAAGGGTAAAGTTCGTTTCCGGAACATACTTCTGAAAATAATTGACCCATCCTAACCAAATTTGCTACACAGCCTCTCCATATCATGTAGATGTGCCTTTTATGGGTTTGAACGTTTCTTTCAATTTTATTTTTTTCATATTTATGAGACAGATACAGCATACCGAAGATCTGGTGTTGTTCTATGCTACTATAGTTTCCATGATATCACCTATCTTGTGCTTTATTTGATTCCAGTGAAAATGTTACATCCATAACTGAATGTGATAAAATTTGATTCTGATTCAGTAATTTGTTGAAATATTTATTGACAACTGCGTGACTGAAAAACAACAGATTCATTCATGCATTTTGAATGAGAATCACAATTCTGAATGTTTCGTAAATTAAAACTGTTGAGTTGTTGATTTGTTGATGAGCAATTAAGTTTAGTTGAATATAAAATATTAAATGAAGACTTTACAAACATAATAACACACTATCAATAATATGTATTTTCATACTAGAGATTTTGAAATTGAAGGAATCAAATGAATTGTTTGAGGTCTCAACGTTGAATTGGGGGAAGGGGGAGACATATGTTTTTACAAGTAAATACACTTTCTAGTAAAGAAATGATATATGACTCCTGCAGGAGAAGAACTTCTTCCACAAAGTGAGCTCTCGTCTTTCGAAACCCAACATCTTTGTACTACAGAACCGCTGGGATGAGTGCGCTAAGGCGAAGAAAGTGGAAGATGTAAGTACAGTCCTATCCCACTGACGTGGCACACTTCTGTAAATATGTGGCAGACACAGCTTGATTCGCAGCTGGGAATTTACCTAACTAATTATATTGCAATTGTCTTGTTTAGAATACTGTCAACCGATAACATTGTTGATTATAATTTTGGCTAATTAATGTACACTGACCATGATGTTTATGAATATTGTGATTAGATATATATTTACTTGTGATAGTGAAACTTGTATATAAGGACGTCAGTCAGTAAGCCTAGCGCCAGTAAACAGAAACACCAATGCTCCAATGCAGACGCGGCGAGGCCGGACATGTATTACCCGAAAACCCGGATGGCACGTACAAAAGTAGTAACAGTATATAAACGAAAAGAAACGTAGTGGGGCAGTTGCCTTTCCACTCCCTTCTTACCAGGAATAGTATGTTAAAGTCAGACTGTGAATGTACACATTACAAAATGAAACTCATGAACAGGAAAACACAAGTATTAAATGTTCATTCATGGCATTTCCCATTCTCCCGTCTCCTGCCAGCTAGGAGGATGTCGAGATCGGCAAGATCAGCGTGGTGTAGATGGCTGCTGGTTGTCAGGCTGTCCAGTAGTCAGTGGGTATTCACATGCCTCAGATGCAGCTTCGACCTGATGGTGGTTTTCAGGCATGTAGGTGGTTGCTGGAGTGCTGGGTGTAAGAGGCACTACAATATCTGGGGGAAGAGGTGGTTTGTCGTTTGTCGTAGTACCTGTCCCAGGGTTAGACACATAGGATGGAGGGTTCATGACTACAGAGTTGATATCGTGGTCGTCAAAGCCACGGATTGGACCAGGTGATGGAGTGGTAACCATCATGGTCATGATTGGGTAACAGTCTCTAATCTTGATGTCGTAGTTTTTTTAACGTAGTTGAGACCTCGAGAACTTGCGGACTTGGCAGTTCTCCCCTGATATGTGAGTGATGATGTATTTGTCTCTTGCTTTCGTCTTGTCACAATCCCCTCTAAGGAAGACCAAGTCTCCTACACGGAGATCAGGAGGAGAGCTAATTTGTTGACCACAAGCTTTGGATTTGGCACTGAAAGGGTGGTTAGTTTTTCTAGTTTCACGCTGGAGAGAGATTACGTCTTCATCGGCAATTGGTAATTGATCGCCAGTCAACTGGTCACGTTGCGTCCAAATTTCTCGAGCAGAAAGGCCGGTGTTCCAAACTCTGGAATTTAGACTCGCTGTAGCAAGGGCTAGAGTCACACTTGATATCGGACCACCCTCCAGTGATTGATGAAGTAATTCTAATCCAAGTTCCTGGATGGCCCTTTCTGCCACAGGATTCTTGTTGGGGTTCTTGGCATTGCCGATGGCGAGGTTAATGCTATACTGGGAGAGCAGGGCGTCTTTGGCTAAAGCGATGAAACCAGGCGCAGGGTCAACACGAACAGTGATACCACCATCATTCATGGGGCGGGCCCCTGCACAAAGAATGAGAAAGGCATCACGTAGAGTTTCATGTCGCTCGTTTTCAATCAACATTGTGAAAGTCATGAAGGAAACCGTCTTACAGAGGACAAATATCAGCTGGCGATATCCACGCATAACATCAGCGGCGTATGACAAGCCCATGAAGGTTGGTGAAGGGTCTGACGTCTGAGGGTATAGTTGTTTGGGGAATGATTTCAGTGACATACAATGGTGGCACGATGATGTCACTCTGGTAACAGCTTTGTCTATTCCAAGAGCAAAGAAATATCTGTTGAACAGTGACTTGACCTGATATTGTGTTGGGTGGTCAAACCGTATGTGTATGGCAGTGAGGAGACCATCCAGAACTTCACATGGTACGACAATTCTTTCACGACTCGGTTGAAATGGTTGGGAATCCTTGACAACTAGCAATCCATCTCGAGCTATGGTAACTTCTCGCAGGTAGCGTTTCACATTGGGAACATTCGTCATCTTCTTTGATGGACGGGTACCTTGTGTGAGGTGAGAATGGGTGCGTCTGAGGTCCGGGCATTCGTGTTGGGTATCCAGCCATGCTGCTCGGCTAGTGAATGGCATCCTGACACTATTTTCTGTGACATCTTTGATAGAGAGGCCGCGGATAACTGAACACTCTGTTTGATGGATGAACTGGCATATCTGGCAGCTTTGGTATGAGCACTCACTGGGGTGTCTACTGGCATAATCCGAAGGCAAGTTAGCTACACCAGATATGTGTCTGATCTCAAACAAGTATCTGCTGACAGTTGCCAGGAAAGTTGTGACACGTGAGCTGGTTGAAAACTCCCCTCGCCTGAGTTTTTGGTAGGCTTGGACACAGGGTCGACTGTCTGTGAGGACTTGTACAGTCTGTTTTGCCTGGATGATATAGGGGGCAAAGTGTTTCACAGCTGCGCTGATGCCCAAAGCTTCTATTTTTCCTTATCCTGACTCATGCTCTTTTGCTTGTCTTCTTCTTCTTGCGAACATAGTGGAACACTTGTATCTCCTTAATTGAAGCTCCCTTCAATGTAAAATCACTAATTGGTACTCACCACGAGTTGCCTCCCTTGCCCTTTTGGCGGGAACAGGTGTCGCCACCCTCTGGCCTCATGCTTCACTCTCTCCTTCTTCGCCCAGTGAGCAGGATGTGAGAGCGCCTGTGTCTCCTTACACACTATATCCTTTGGTTTTTCTTAGTTTATTACCTCTTATAGGTTACTATAGAGGTATAGCTAGTATCCTTCATTAATTTGCATTGATATTTAATCGTATTTCTACTGTTTATTCACGTGAGTTCGTGATTGTTCAGCTAGTATTTACGTTGATGAAAATCTGTACTATTTGCAATTTACGTTTTTCAATTGCTGACCCGCATGTATTATGCCCTAGTTGTGCTACGCCTTGTGCGTTTGATACACGTTGCAGTTACTGCATTAATCTATCCAATTCTGCTTTTCATAAATATCTTTGCGTCGTGAGACGTACCGCAGATAGGTCACGCAAACAAGGGTTAGACATGGCCGATACATCGGATTCCCCTTCCAGTCAGCTGCTGTCGATAGACCCCCCTCCCGTCTGGTGTTTCGCAAGAGACTCCGTCGGAAGATGGGCGTGGGATGCAGTCCGCCAACACTAAGAAGCGTCCTGCCTCCCCAGACGTCCCGTCATCGCAGATAAAGTCCAAGAGGGCCACGACGTCTTCCCAACGCAGACTTCGGACCCCCAGGGCAGCGTCGACATCTAAGGGGAAGTCTACGAAGTCGTCAAGAACTTTCTCAGCCGAGATTGTTCCAGCCGCCGAACTGGGCCTCTACGATGATCAGCCGATCATCATCCCTGACGTACGCCACAAGAAGCGACCGGTGACAGCTACAGTGACATCAGCAGAGATCGCCATGCAGCCTGATGCCTCTACACTGATGTCAGACGACTTCCCTGAGGGGTCAGCAGCTGTCATCGCAGAGAGGGCACCGACTACTTCGTCGCAGACCATCCCAGACGAGCTGTTGCGGCAGATCATGACCATGATGGAGGGCCACTACAGTCGGGGGAAGCAGCCAGCCCAGGGCCCGAGCAACGCAGACGATACCCCAGAGGCACCCCCAGTCAGCGTAGCAGCCACGACGAAGCAGCCTTCGAGAAGGAAGTCACAGACCACCTCAACGAAGGACGCAGATGTACAGTCGTCGCGAAGGCCTTCACGAAGACGGGAGAGATCGTCATCATCCTCGACCTCATCCTCAGATGCAGACTCAGACCACCAGACGTCACGGAAACCGTCACGGAAGTCACGCCGCTCCCCAGGTCCGGACGCAGAGGAAGCTGCACGAAGGCCGTCACACAGATCGTCATCGTCCAGAAGGACGTCGAGGGACTATTCAAGAGCTTCACGAAGCCGTCAACATTCTCCTCGCAGATCTAGGTCTTCCCATAGACGCAGATCACCTAGACGATCTCCACGCCGTTCACCACGCCGATCTCCACGTACATCACCTCGCAGGTCATCACACAAGTCGGCACACAGGTCTACACTCAGGTCTCCCCGAGTGTCACCCGACATAGAGATAGCAGCCCAGAGGTCACCATCAGAAGAGCATCAACCTCTCATCTCCGATGCTGGTACAGAAGATGATGGAGGCATCATCTTCTCAGACGCTGAGATAAGATATTGGATGGTAAACAACCTAGATTTATCTTCACCGTCCAAGAGTGGCAACTCAGCGCAGACATACCTGATGAAGGAAGACGATGCAGACGCCATCACCTTACCTCCGATCGACCCGATTGCTGCGGTGCCACATAATCTAGATACAGCCTTCATTAAAGCTACGAAAGTGCAGACTCCACATCTGCCGAACTTTCACGCTAAGAAGTTCTCCACGCACAACATGGACCCCTTCCTGAAGGCACAAGACATCGATGAAAACTACAAGCTGATCAGCGATGTTAAGAACAAGAACTACAAGATTGACGATCGCAAGCTGGTGCAGATAGAAAACATGACGAGACGCATGTTCTTTGGCCTAAATAGATCTAGAACGATCAATGAGACACTTATCACCAGATTTCGTAATACGACCTCTGAAGATGATAGGATGATCTACTCGGCCCTACTGATGCAAAAGAAGGACCAGCAGTTCCTTACAGATCATCTCACATCTGTCTCAGCAGCACTGACCTTAGCTCGTCGTCAAGGCCTCCTCGCTTCCTGCAGCTGGGGTGAGAACTTTACAGCTCCACTCTATACAGCCCCGTGGTCATCCCCAAACATCTTTGACGGAGGAATAGACAAAGTCTCCAAGGAAGTCACTAAGGACTCCAGAGAAGTCCTTATGATCAAGTCGATGGACACGCTAGCCAGCGTCATCAGGCAGACTTCACAAAGATACTCAGGGAGATCTAAGTTCTCGGGACTACAGAAAGCACGGGATAGGAAGATAGCCAGCACCAGGGGAAAAGATTCTTTTCGTCGCCCATATGGCAACTATAGAGGAGGGTCAGGAAGAGGCAGGACACCCAGAGGTTC